CTCTGGAATTATGATCAAGGAGGGGTTATTGACTGCAGCAATTCCAGAGAGTTCAGTTATTTTGTTCGTTACATGACATGCGTTGGTTAAGAGTATACAGTAGATGGAACTGAGTAGGCAATTGATGATTCACATATATTGTTTTTCCTTATTGAAATAAGTATTAAGTTACAACTGAGTTTTTGGTTAGTAGACCTCTGTACTAGTCGACGGTTGGTTATTCTAACCGGAATGGTTTCAGACTCATTATTCAAACGATTGGAAATTGGACCAAAAGATGTATATGCCAAGTCAGGTATTACGTACTGGTTCTGGTTATTTGGTTGCCTAGGTCCAAATGTTTGAGCCAGTCCGGAGGGCGACGGTTCGAACAATGTTGCCGAAAATTTATCAGGTTTGGCCGCAGGCAATTATTTGTATTTGTTCTAGAGAGAGACTGGATGGAATTTGGTGGTTCAGAGCACTCAACATGCCAATTAGTTTCGTCTGGATCGTTGAATTGAGCATTAGTCGCTTCCTTAATTTCAGATTTATTTCTGCTAGAAACTTCGTCTGTCTCATTTGGTTCTAGGGGCAAGCAAAGGTAGCCATTTCAACCATTCGTGTGGTTGTTTGCTAGGTAGACTTTGTTTATATTTCTTTTCGCTTTGATCCTGATCGCTATGTTCTATCCTGTTATTCGTGTCGCAGTGTGTGACGTCCGTTGTGCCGTTTGACATTTGTTTTAGACTATTAATTGTATTCAATGATGTTTTATGGCCTTTGTATTTGGTGTTAGGTTTAGGTTTAATTCTGCGTATGACACTTTGTTCAGGAGAGCAATCGGCATCTCGCCTTGAACATTGTATTGAATGTTAGTCGCTTCCTTGATTTCACATTTGTTTCTGTGGGAAATTTAATTTTGTCTGTCTTATTTAGTTCTGGGGGATCAAGCGCGGGGTTCAACCACTCGTTTTGATCTTGATTGCTTTGTAAATTAACGCGTGATTGATTTGTATTTTCATCCAAGGCCCAGGGTTTTATAATCGATATTTCGACATTGTTTAATTGATTCAATGGAGGTTGTGTTGGCGGCGAGGCAGTCTTACTCTCATTGTTCTCCGGGGAATTCTCATTCGTTGTTAATTTCTTTGGTAGGGGATTATCTAGTTTGGCCTCTAATGCAACAATTCTGAACGTTTATTTAAACTCTTTAAATAGTTGGCTTTTCTTATCAAACAAAAATACTACAAAAGTCGGTCGCAGAACATAGGACACCCCCCCCAAAAAAAACGTTTTTTGAATGTGCGCCCCTGACCAGATACTTCAAGAACATTCAAAAACTATCTTTATGAACATTATTCAAATTTAATATTTTATGTTTTCGATGTTAATTTGTTATGTACCTGGTCAATGTCACGAAATTGTCCTTGTCATCGAATTTGACTGTCTTATGTTTTTTGTATTGTAATTTATTGTTTTGTATTTCTGTTTTGTTACTTGTAAGAATTATTGACACTGTCACGTATATTCGGAGAGGTGCCTCCCACGGGCTCTTGTTGGTACAAAATGCTTCAGAGTCTGCTTTACTGAAAGCAAATGACAACGAACAGTATTCGAGAAAATACAACCTTCAATTCGATTTGTAGGTATCGAAGAGAAGACGGGTGAAAATTGTGTTGATTTGATCGTGAACTTTTGTAACGAGAAATTGTGAGTGGCTGTCAGTGTAAAAGATATTGATCGAGCGCACCGTATCGGAACGAAGAATGCTGGAAAGTCGAGGGCCATAATCGTGAATTTCAAGGATTACAACTCAAAAATGGCAGTTTGTAAGCGAAGAAATGATCTTAAAAGAAGTAGATTTCATGTTAACGAGGACATAACCAAAATCAATATGAAACTGTTTTATGTCGGACGTAATAATGCAAGTCAAATTAAATCTATTTGGCTCTCCGATGGAAAGCTTTTAGCCGGCGGTGAAGATGACAAAATTGTACGAGCACACCCTAACGCTGTAAACCTCCAAAACCATACGCAGTATGAGGAGTATAGTTGAAGTTCTGAGCAATTTCAGAACTCTGTCGACTGTCGTCGCCGCCAAGAGATAACATATCAAATTTCTCATCAGAGCGAAACGCCATTTTGTACAATCGTCCATGTTTGTATATTTCAAATACCAATGTAAAATAAAACATGCTTACTTTCAAACATCAAAACCTCGTATCAGACTTTCATAGTTCCAGAAGTGAAACTTTCAGTTATACATAGCCATAGGCGAAATTTTTTTGCCTCGTTTAATGGAAGCTTTCAGAATGGTGGTAAAACTTTTAAAATGGATAAAAATTTAGTATTTTCGACTTTCGACTCTTGACTTTCGACCCTCGACCTCGACTTTTGATCCTCGACTCGACTTTCGACCCTCGACCTATGACCCTTAACCCTCGACAATTACCCAAACTCATAGTTTTCACATTTTACCTTCAACCGCTTTTTGTTCATTGTTAACCCCTTGTTCTTCTTCTTTCTCCTTTGCTTTCTAAACGAACGACACAGCAATGTTACTTCCCATGCAGACGCAGGGAAATTAAGTAGTATACCAAGTGCAATAATTGACATAATAAACAATTATTGGATTAGGCTGAGCATGACATCAAGAATTATTCAGACCGAGGCGGATAACATTGGCCGAGGTCTGAATAATTCTTGATGTCATGCGAAAGCCGAATCCAATAATTGTTCTATTATACATTTAAATACATCAGAAACGTATAAAACGATTAAACGAAGTTTATTAATATTTCAAGTATATTTATTTTATTTTCGCGCGCTTTTGGGTTTGAGTTGTTGGCCGCGCCGGGGCTTGGGCACGACAGCGTCCAATATCTTTTTTAGGATGCAAGTTCGATCCAAAAAAGTATTATTGGACGCTGAGCACGTCCGCAGCTGAAATTACGTAATAAGTATCGAATATTGAGAATTAGTATAAACCTACTAGTAGGCTATCATGTTTCGTGCGTTCTGATTGGCTACGCTACTAGTAGGCTATTAGTGATAGCCTACTAGTAGCAACAGCGGCGAAGGGCGCGAGAGTCAATGGCCGTTTTTAAGTATTAAAAGCGTTATTTAAAGGGAAAAAGCTTATCAAAATGGCCTAATTTTGGTTCTGGATTACACACAAACAAAGACTCTTGGAAACTGCTGACACATGCGGTAAACATTTTAAGTTTTCTCAACTTTGCTCGTAGTTTTGAACATGAAAGTGACAGGCGATTTTTTAAAATGTGCAGAATGTTTGTTAATATTCCAAGCAGAATCGTTGAAATTCAACAATTCTTTGTAGCTATTTAACCCTATTTTCTCAACCTCTTTAGTGTGTGCTTGTTTTAAGTACGAGTTCATGTATTTAGTTGTCATTTTAAAGAGTTTTTTTCGTTTAAATGTTGAGATTTTGGCCGAGTTTGTTTTTCGCCTTTTCGAGCCTTTTTAAGTCGAGTTTTTCGATTAAATTTTAATCTAAACTATTGTCTATGTATACTAGATTATGGAAATGGTTTGCCTCTTTATGTTCCAGATATGTTAAAGATTTCAGAGACATTCGGATAATCGGATTCTTTTGGATATGTGTGCATTTTTATTCGGCTTTTCAACGACGTAAACTTTATTCACTAATTTAGTAACAATTCGGGAAGCCATTTTGTGTTCGAAATTTTGGACTTTTTAAGCCTTGTTTCCTTCTTTTAAATAAGTTTTAATTAACCAAACTTTGCTTCTATAACGGTCTCTTACTATTATACTGTTTTATTCTTGGGAGTTCGCAACACTGAGTAGTTGTCAACAAAGCCGAGGCGAAATGTCGCCAAAGCCAAAGAAGCCATTTAAGGTAATTCCGCAGTTTTGCATTGCGCACGTTTACTGCGCACACCTTATAACTTATAATTTCATCCATTATACGTACCCTTTAAAACATGCAAAATATCATTTTATGACAATTTTATGTCACTTCAAAACATCTTTAGTTACATTCGTGCAAAGAATTACGTTAAAATCAATGTTTTCAAAAAATCAATGTTTTTACGTTTCATATCCGAAATTAAATAAAAAATCGATTTCTGGATCTTGAAAAAAAATGCTTTATCAATGCATGTTCTCAAAGAAAGATATGTAAGGAAATGTGCACAATATTTTTTCAAGAATAATTACAAGATAGGTTTACTAAAGCAAAATCCGCGCTAAAAACGTCAATAAATATCGGGCTGCTGTGAGTTTGCTGTTACTCGTAATAAGCGTCAAGACGGCGCCATATTGGGGTAAAGGTTGTATATTGTGATTGTCATATCTTCTTAACGAGTTCGGTGACCCCGACTTTCATGTGTGATTTTACTTTAAGTATATCATAAACTCCATGCCTGGGAAGATTCAGCACATTCTCATTTCGGGAACAATTACTGCGGAATTACCTTAAACGCTCATTTCGTTAAAACGTTATTATTTTACATAAAACTCAAGTGAAAAATTCCGTTTTCTTTATGTGGTTTATACTAAAACAATTAGACAACTCAGTCTCGTTGTCTCCGAACGAATAGTCAACTCGGCTTCGCCTCGTTGACTATTCGCTCATAGACAACTCGGCTTCGTTGTCTAATTGTTAATTATCCTGGGGTCTCTGACCAATCCACATTTAGATATTGAATGTTTCAGAACTTTTGAGTTCGCACGATATAGGTACGAACATGCTGGTTCGCATTTAGGACATATAAACATATATTTTTAAGTTAAGGTGGCTCGATATATTAACCTGATACACTACAAGAATCGCAAAGGCAAATCTTTGCTGTATGAAGAAAACCCGCGTGACCATGCATTAGTGTGCGCGGGAATGTTAACGGAGATCTTTAATCATAAAATAACTACAGTGAAACACGCAATTTGATTGGTCAACAGCCGTGCAGGATCACACAATCCTGCATGGGAAATTCTGAAAAGAAATTCTTGCACATAATTTTACAAATATACTCGCATTGTAAAGTTTCATTGTACGATACCTTTCGACTTTGAAGTAAGTTTCCAATTATTGAGACGTTGGTTTAGTTGCATGAATAAATTTCTGATCGATACATTCCTGTTCAAGCAAGTAGCAACGCATGGCGTTGAAATTCATCAGACCATGGCAAGTACAACATCTCTCGCTAGTCGCTTCGAAGTTCAAACGCTTCGCAATCTTCAAGTATTCAGGTCGAGAATCTTTTCGTAACTACTTTGGCTCTCTGTTTAACGGGTTTTCCATTTCAAATTTCGTAAATTTTATCGAAAAAATCTCTGTATTTTCGCTGTATATTTTCGCGAATTTGCGATCAAATTCTGTTCGCATTTGTTGTTGTTTTCAATAGCGTGGAGTAGCGATTCTCCGATTGGTTAATTGGCGATTGTTGTGAGAACTGCGCATTTCATCAGTAATTTTAATCAAGTTAACCGTCGTTTCACTGTAGTAATTTTATAAAACAATTACCAACTGGTTTTCCCGTCCAGGATAGCATGATCCATGCACGCGGGATGTTGCGAGACTTTCGGAAAGCGTGTGAAAAATAGAGACACTCACAATACCTCCAAAGACGATTGGGCTCCTAGAGTCGTTTCTCTCAGAAAGCTAACTGCATATCGACCAGCACGAATCACCGCCGCACTTAGAGCTTCTGTCAGAACTGACATATTTCTAATTTAATACAAATATAATAATAAGGAGAGCTTTTTCTATAATAATAGGGAGAGCCTTTTTCTATATTTTTTTATATTTTTATTATATTTTGACTACAAATATAAAAATAAGGAGAGCTTTTTTCTAATAGTATTACCACAGTGGGGGGGGGGGGGGGGGGGGG